ATTGCGTATTTTTTGGGGTTTCAAAGTTTTATAATTTAGAATATTAAATCAGCATTAAATTTTAAGCTTGTATACGAAAGTAAAAAACTAATAGATATATGCATGTTTGATTTGTTTTTTCCTACACGTTTTAAATAATTTGTTTTTGTTGAACCATTCGATCTTTACATTATTCGTGTGAAAAAGTATGAAACTGAAGCCCCAATGACTCTTCCTTAGTTCGTATTTGTGAGGACACAAATCAAAATGGAATCTTATTTCCGATTGAAGCAAAGTAACTTGTGAGATCATCACTTTTTTATTAGTTTGCAAACTTTTGAGTTGATGCGTCCAACAACCATTGACTTTTTTTTTCTTACCTGAATTGAGTTAGATGTTTAAACATTTATTTTCACCAGGTAGAAAGGGTAAAAAATGTCTCAATGGAACACACTTTTTACCCAAATCCAAAAAAAAAAAAGAAGAGACAGAAAGTTAAACCTTTTTTTTTTTAATTTGCTAACGAGTTAAACCTAAACTCTCGAATAGAAATACCCCAGTATCCCACAAGTCTCAAATCTCAATGATTAAAAAAAAAAAATACATTGTATTTGTCAACAAATATCAATCTCCTTAAAAAGTAGGAAAGTGTTGTAACACATATCATATATGGACTCTTATACCGGCCCATTAGGCCTATCAGGGCATTGTACTTAACCTAGATTCCCTATGTACTCTATATATACATTCCAGTGATTAATAAAGTTTCTAAGAAGTTTTCACAACACGTTATCAGCACGATAAGACTCTCTGAGCGAAAAACCCTAATAAATCCGGCCACCACCAAAACCCTAAAAGCAAGTCGAAACTTAAAAGACACATATCTTCCAAACCGTGAGGAACCAGAAGACGATCTACATATCAAATCGAAGCCCTCGACGAGACGAATCTACTGGTGAAAACCGTTTGTCGATCCAACGTCGGACGCGCCCTCACGCACACTTACAGTACACGACGATCAACCGAAAAAAAAAAAAAAAAAAAACCAGATCCGAGTTTTTCCTTCTTCAACCAGCAGCTTCTCCAGTTTTGGTGATCAATCCTTGGAATTTGTAGCGGCTAACTGAGGTCTATTAGCTCCCAGTTTCATTAGCCTGTCAGAAATCCAAAGGTGGAAAAGCACACCAGCAAATGGAAACCATAGTCGTAGATAGTGGATCCAGCCACACTATCTTAAGAAACAAAAGTTACTTCATAAACCTAACCTATCAAACCGCAAATATTAGCACCATCGCGGGCCCCTCAAACCTTATCGAAGGATATGGCCATGCCTATGTGTTGCTATCAAATGGCACACAATTTGAAATACCAGATGCTCTATATTCTCCTAGTTCGAAGAGAAATCTTCTGAGCTTCAAGGATATAAGACAGAATGGTTTCCACATAGAAACCCAAGGTCAAGGGAACAAAGAATCCCTCCTAGTCACTAAAACCGTAGACGGCCATAAACAAATCCTCGAAACCATACCCGTGCTCTCTACTGGACTTTACCATGCTAAAGTCAGTATGATTGAAGCTAATACCACTCTCAAAGCCCGGTTTACTGATTATACTATTTGGCACGACCGGCTCGGTCATCCCGGTGCAAATATGATGCGTAAACTAATTCAAAACTCTCAAGGGCATACCCTCAAAGAAAACCGAGCTTATCCTCAACACCTCATGTGCACAGCTTGTTCTCAAGGCAAATTGATCACTCGGCCTTCACCAGTTAAAATCTCTAAACAAACACTTCATTTCCTAGAAAGAATCCAGGGCGATATCTGTGGACCTATACATCCATCTTCCGGACCATTCCGGTACTTCATGGTCCTTATAGACGCATCGACCCGTTGGTCATATGTTTGTCTCTTGTCCTCTCGGAACCAAGCCTTCGCTAGGTTCTTGGCCCAAATCATAAAATTGCGGGCCCATTTCCCTGACTTCCCACTAAAGACTATCCGCCTTGACAATGCTGGTGAATTTACCTCACAAGCGTTTAATGACTACTGTATGGCCATGGGGGTAACCGTGGAACATCCTGTAGCACATGTCCATACTCAAAATGGATTGGCTGAATCATTCATTAAACGCATTCAATGGATAGCCCGACCATTACTCATGAGATCAAAGCTCCCGGCCTCAGCATGGGGACATGCAGTATTACATGCTGCTAAACTCATACGCATCCGGCCATCTAGTGAACACAAATATTCCCCATCCCAACTACTCTCGGGTCATGAGCCAGACATCTCCCATCTCAAAACATTTGGGTGTTCAGTATATGTACCCATTGCTCCACCACATCGAACCAAAATGGGACCTCAAAGAAGGATGGGAATATATGTTGGTTTTGACTCTCCCACCATCATAAGATATCTCGAGCCAACCACTGGAGATCTCTTCAAGGCCAGATATGCGGATTGCCAATTCGATGAATCGATATATCCCTCTTTAGGTGGTGAGACAAACAAGCTGGTCAAAGATCTTTCATGGAATCAAACATCATTAAATTGGCAAGATCCTCGGACTCTAGAATGTGATTCAGAGATCCAAAAGATTATTCATTATCAAAAGCTAGCTAATCAATTGCCAGATTCCTTTGCTGACCCGACCAAAGTAACCAAATCGTACATCCCAGCTTGTAATGCACCAGTACGAATAGCTGTCCCAACGGGACAGACCCAAGTTGCTACAGAGTCTGCACCACGTCTCAAACGGGGCAGACCTCTCGGTTCCAAAGATAAGAATCCCCGGAAATCAAAGAAAGGTGCAATAACCGAAACCGGGATTCCTGCAATATCAGACATAGCCGCGGCTGAGACTCAATCTAATGAACCCTCAATGGAAGTTCGGGACGCCGAATCTCCAGGTTCAGAAGATAACAATGAGATCTCCATCAATTACAATATGTCCGGAATACAATGGAATCGAAAAGAAGTCGACTTAAATGCACTCTTTGCATACAAAGTAGCACTTGATGTTGCGCTCACGCAAGAGGATCTAGAACCCACGTCAATAACACAGTGTACACATCGAACAGATTGGCTAAAATGGAAAGAAGCCATAAACGTGGAGTTAAAGAGTCTCAAACTCAGAAACGTGTTCGGTCCGATCATCCGGACCCCATCACACATCAAGCCAGTGGGCCACAAATGGGTCTTTGTGCGCAAAAGGAACGAACTCGGTGAAGTCGTTCGATACAAAGCACGGCTCGTAGCACAAGGATTCTCACAGAGACCCGGAATCGATTATGAGGAGACTTATTCTCCAGTGGTGGATGCAACAACATTCCGATTCCTCATAAGTCTGGCCATAAGAGAAAATCTTGATCTGCGGTTAATGGAGTAACCGCATATCTCTATGGGCCCCTGGACAACGAAATATATATGAGACTCCCAGATGGCATTGAACTAAAAGACAAAAATGCATCTCGAGATCAATACTGCATCAGGCTGAACAAATCCTTGTATGGACTGAAACAAAGTGGGCGTATGTGGTACAACCGCCTCAGCGATTACCTCATCAAAGAAGGCTACAAAAATGACCCCATCAGTCCATGCATCTTCATCAAGAAGTACTCAAACAAAGGATTTGTAATCATAGCAGTATACGTGGATGATCTAAACATCCTCGGAACATCTGGTGAGATCTCCCAAACAGTCGACTGCTTAAAAGCAGAATTCGAAATGAAAGACCTAGGCAAAACAAAGTACTGTTTGGGATTACAACTTGAGTACATCAAAGGAGGAATCCTTGTGCATCAATCGGCTTATATCGAAAAGGTACTCAAGCGATTTAATATGGACCAAGCTCACCCATTGACTAGTCCAATGGTAGTTAGAAGCTTAAGTGATGACCCTCTTGGTCCCAAAAAGGATGATGAAGAAATCCTTGGTCCTGAAAAGCCATACCTCAGTGCTGTAGGAGCGTTAATGTACCTGGCTAGTCACACTAGACCAGACATATGTTTCGCCGTGAACCTCCTCGCTCGATATAGTTCATCTCCAACTCAGAGGCACTGGAACGGTATAAAACATCTCCTAAGATACCTTCGAGGTACTCAAGACTTAGGACTCTTCTATACTAACCAAAATAAAGATGGGTTAGTCGGCTTCGCCGATGCAGGATATCTATCAGATCTGCATACTGCCAAGTCTCAAACTGGCTACGTTTTTACGCATGGAGGAACAGCCATCTCTTGGAGATCAATGAAGCAGACACTCACTGCCACTTCATCAAACCATGCTGAAATCCTAGCCATTCATGAGGCTAGTAGGGAATGCGTCTGGCTGCGCTCCATGACTCAGCACATCCGCAGAGATTGTGGTATGGACGAAGACACACAGCCCACGGTGATGTATGAAGACAACGCGGCATGCATAGCTCAGCTCAAGGAAGGATATATCAAAGGAGATCGGATGAAGCACATTCTACCGAAGTTCTTCTCAACCTCAGACTGGCAGAAGGACGACACTCTCAGCGTTCAGCAGGTCCGATCCAGTGAGAATTCAGCTGACCTCTTCACCAAATCATTGCCTACTTCAACACACCGGAAGCTCGTCAAACAGATAGGAATGTATAGACTTAGAGATCTGCAGTGATGCTACAATCAGGGGGAGTAATGCGTGTTGTACTCTTTTTCCTTCACCATGGTTTTGTCCCACTGGGTTTTTCCTGGTAAGGTTTTAATGAGGCAACATTCCCCAGCGCATTATCGAGATTCCGATTGAGTAGCTGGCCCGGTTCACTCGTCCAAGGGGGAGTGTTGTAACACATATCATATATGGACTCTTATACCAGCCCATTAGGCCCATCAAGGCATTGTACTTAACCTAGATTCCCTATGTATTCTATATTAAAAAAGTTTCTAAAAAGATTCCCTATATACTCTATATTAAAAAAGTTTCTAAAAAGTTTTCACAACAGAAAGAAATAAAGAAAATAAAAAGACAATAGCGTTCTCTCCCATCTTATAAAAGCGCATATATACTGCTTAGATTTTCTATATAATTCTCTCTCTCTCTATAAACACTACGAAGAAGACAATCCAATTGTTTTAAGATCTTTCTTCTTTTTTGAATTCTTCTTCGTTTTAGATTCCAGGTCAAACACTTTGATCGATTCTCTTGCTACTAACTAAACTTCTCCGTGATCGAAGTTTTTTTAAAAATAATTTTATTTTAATTCGACGAAAAAGCTTTTTTCCTTTTTTTTTCTCTTTTATTCTTCCGGCGATGGTTTTATCGGCGAAGCAGGCTTTCTCTGCTAAGATCGGATTCTCCAATCCACTTTTGCGACGAAGCCCTTCTTCCTCACTCCTGCGATCTCCTGTTTCACTCTCGTTCCCATCGACGGAGCTTCCAAAACGCACAGCGTTAGCCCTCTCGAAGCCTCTGCACATCTCTTCTTTGAGAGCAAAGTCTCCGGTGAGATGCGAAGCCTACGAAGCCGACAAATCGGAGCCTCAGCCGATCGATGATTCGGCGGCGGCGGAAACGAAATCGGAGGCGGCAAAGAAACTGAAGATCGGGATTTACTTCGCTACTTGGTGGGCTTTGAACGTTGTCTTCAACATCTACAACAAGAAGGTCTTGAACGCTTACCCTTATCCATGGCTGACCTCGACGCTCTCTCTCGCCGCCGGTTCGTTGATGATGCTCATCTCTTGGGCTACTGGGATCGTCGAGACTCCCAAAACCGATTTCGATTTCTGGAAAACTCTTTTGCCGGTAAGTGGGTTGGTGGGGAAAAAAAAAAGTTTGGTGGGTTTTTGATTAGAGAAGAAAAAGGTTGGAAATTTAGGTTTGATGTCGATGTTTTCGATGATGGGTTATTGAGGTTTATGGTCAAGTTGATGCAGATCTTGCAGGAATATTTGTTGTTTTTTTGTTACCTGAGTGATATGCTTAGTTTTGTTTGCTTCCTGAGAGAGAGAGAGGAGAAAGTGATGTTTTTTTTGGCTGTGTTTGTTCATAAGCTGCTGAATTTTGGTTGTTTGTTATAAATTCTGAATTTTTCATAGCTAAATTCTTTGAATTCAAGTGTCATTTTTTGAGAGTCTGAAATTAGCATGTTGTATTTTTAGCTTCTAGTAAAATCATCGTGGTTTAAAGTATTAAACTTTTTGAGATTTTTGTTGTACTAAAAGTGGGTTTTTGTTTGGATTGGCTTAAAGGTTGCTGTGGCACACACAATTGGTCATGTGGCTGCAACGGTGAGTATGTCAAAGGTTGCGGTTTCGTTCACTCACATCATCAAGAGTGGTGAACCGGCGTTTAGCGTCCTTGTCTCGAGGTTCCTTTTGGGTGAAACTTTCCCTACTTCGGTTTACCTGTCCCTCATTCCCATCATTGGTGGTTGTGCTCTCTCTGCTCTTACTGAGCTTAACTTCAACATGATTGGTAATTAAATATTCTAAACACTCCAATGTTTTTGTCTTTGTAATTCTTTTTAGCTAGCTTCTATAAGCAGTTGTATGATTTGGATTGAGAACTAAAAATGATCAAATCTTTCTGTTTCTGCCCTCTCAGGTTTCATGGGAGCGATGATTTCGAACTTGGCTTTCGTCTTTCGTAACATCTTCTCGAAGAAGGGAATGAAAGGGAAGTCTGTGAGCGGAATGAACTACTACGCTTGTCTCTCCATGTTATCACTCTTGATCCTCACACCTTTTGCAATTGCCGTTGAAGGACCTCAGATGTGGGTCGATGGCTGGCAAAAGGCTCTCTCCGACGTCGGACCTCAGTTTGTCTGGTAATTTCCGGCTAGAAACTTCTTACGAGAAAGCCAACTCTTTTTAAACTCAAAGTCTCGGTTTGATGTTTTGTCCTGTTAGATGCAGTCTTGTCCTGTTCCTATAACCCCTTGTGAAAAAGACCCACTTATCAAGTTCTTGCCTTTATCTCTCAGAGTTCTTGTTTTCCTTCTAATCATTAATAGTCCTTGAGTCTTTTCGTGTCTAGGCCAATTAATCCATCTCATTCGCTGTAGGTGGGTGGCTGCGCAGAGTGTGTTCTATCACCTCTACAACCAAGTGTCTTACATGTCCTTGGACCAAATCTCTCCGTTGACATTTAGTGTCGGTAACACCATGAAACGTATCTCTGTCATCGTCTCATCCATCATTATCTTCCGCACTCCAGTCCAGCCCGTTAATGCCCTTGGAGCCGCCATTGCTATCCTTGGAACCTTCCTTTATTCCCAGGTAAACACGTAGCACAATAACCTTTGAATGACCAATATACCCCTGTTATCCATATGATGAGTAAGCGTCTCTTGGCTTCACTTCACAGCCACATGATGACCTTTTAGCCATATGATTAGACTTAACTATTACTTCTTCGTCATTGTCAAGAACCGTCTTAGTTTATTGGTTTGGTTTACTTTTTTGAGCAATAGTTTAAGATTTAGAACCATATCATTAACATGGGGTTTTCACGTGTCGTGCAGGCAAAGCTTTGATCGGGCAAGACAGGGAGTGTTCAAGTCCGATGTTGAGCTCGTGATTTCGGTGAAAACCAGGAAAAGGGGCTTAATGTAGATATTTGTCCTGAATAATGAAGAAATGAGAATGGAGACGACAATGTTTAGTGTGTTAGGCAGTTGTTTAAATTGAGCTTTTTGGATTTTTAAGTGTTTGATTTTGGGGGAAATGAGAAGATCGCCTCTTTGTAACTAAAGGGAATTAGATATTGTCTCCTTGCGAATAAGACACCCCTATACTCTCTTTTCAATTAGGAGAGAAACATTTACAAACAAAATAGAGAAAATCATTTCGAGATTATTCCCTCGTTTATACATATGCATGAATTTCAGGTCATATAATCTTATTGATAAGTTAGATGTGTTGAAACAAAAAACAGAGCGTGGTTATTTGTGTAGCGTATTACTTCTAAAATCGATTATATATGACAATTCTATTAATATCAAATTCGGCAACATATTGAATGTTAATCATTTGTAAGCAAGAAATCTAAAGAAAGAATCATACCAAAAAAAAAAAAAAAAAAAATCTAAAGAAAGAATAAATCTTCTTATCAAATCAAAGAAAGAGTATCTACCAGTGATGATTTTTTTTTTTTGGTAAGATGTTAAATAGAGTGATGATTTTTTTTAATACATAAGTATAGCAATGTTGATGCCTGGGACTGTCACAGAGGCATTGGATTTTGGTTGAGTGGCAGAGAGAGAAAAAGGGATGTCTCTTGGGATTTCAGAAGAGGCAGAGAGATAGGTTCAGTGAAGAATATACTAAAGGAAGATTCTCTCTATCGGAATTTGCAATTTGCTTATTTATTGATTGATTTCTTCGTTATTTATTGATTGATTTCTTCGTCAGAGTCAGCACCTCTCTGATGCTATATCGTAAAGATCACAAGCGAAACTTAACAATAGCATATGCTATATATCGTAAATATGCGATCTTCTGACAATTGTACCTTTTTCTTTTTCTAATATAAGATCACGTATGAATTTTGAGATAAAATTTTACAAATTTACAATCAGTTAAACTAGCTGCAATGTCATAGAGGTCTTCTTTGACCGGATTGTTTGAAAAAGAATTGTTAGATAGGAAAATACACATGTGTCTGTGTGTTTTGTTTTTTTCGGTAGAGTTTAGATAAAAAAATCATGCTTTTAAATCCGCAAAAGTAGTGTTTAGAGAAAACAAAGGAGACGGTAGATTGCAGAACAAACAAAATATGAAATGTCTTTTTTAATAGATAATATTACATTTATTCAACTTTGTTCTACTCGTAGTCCTTTTTCTGTTTCCTTCTATTTTGGAAACGTCCCGACAGGAGAAGCAGAAGTACAAATAAATTACAAGTACAAAAAGATTTCACTGTCTGAATATCAAAAACAAACAAAAGGGTTTTTTCTTCAAACTTCAAGATATTTAGCCACCGTCTGAACATCTTTATCTCCTCTTCCACTAAAGTTCAAGACCACTCTCGTTCCGTCCGGTAACGTGGGACATAGCTTCTCGAGGTGAGCAAGCGCGTGTGATGTCTCCAGCGCCGGAATTATCCCCTCTAACCGCGACACTCTCTTGAACGCTACAAGCCGCAAATCAAAGGAAACACAAAAAGATGAGATATGAAACAAAGAAGAGATTACAGAACAAAAGACTATGCATCGATCCATACCTTCCAAGGCTTCTTCGTCGGTTACGCTATAGTATTCAGCACGTCCCATGTCTTTAAGGAAACTGTGCTCTGGTCCAACTCCAGGGTAGTCCAATCTGTAAAAGAAACCCAAAACCGTGATCATGCAACAGCTTTACTAATGATGGCTAGCGGATTTGAGTAGAGAAATTTCTCTTACCCTGCACTTATGGAGTGAGGTTCAATGATTTGACCATCATCATCTTGCAGCAAGTAACTCATAGCTCCATGAAGAACACCGACATCTCCCTTTGTCAACGTGGCAGCGTGTTTGCCACTATCCAATCCAAATCCAGCAGCTTCCACACCGATCATACGGACCTCTGTGTCATCTACAAATTCATGGAAGAGTCCCATTGCATTTGAACCACCACCAACACAAGCCACCAAGACATCTGGTTTCCCTCCCCATTTCTCCAACGCTTGTCTCCTCGTTTCTTTACCGATCACAGCGTGGAAGTCTCTGACCATCATCGGATAAGGATGAGGACCCGCCACAGATCCCAATATGTAATGAGTAGTCTCAACATTTGTCACCCAATCTCTTATTGCTTCTGATGTCGCGTCCTTCAATGTCGCTGTTCCAGAGTGAACTCCTCTCACCTGTAACACCACAAACCAGGAAGAAAAAGGGGTCAGAAACAATGTTTGTTGCATTTAAAACAGATGACCAATCAATGGAGATGAATCTTGAGCATCACCTCGGCACCAAGAAGTCGCATTCTGAACACATTGAGAGCTTGTCTCTCCATATCTTGTGCACCCATATAGATAATGCACTGCAGACCAAAACGGGCACAAACCGTGGCTGTAGCCACACCGTGTTGACCAGCTCCAGTCTCAGCGATAATCCTCTTCTTCCCCAAACGCTTGGCGAGAAGCGCCTGAGCCACGGCGTTGTTGATCTTGTGAGCTCCTGTGTGGTTCAAGTCTTCTCTCTTCAAGTATATAAGCGGCCCTTCGCCATTTTCGCGACGGTAATGCTCTGTAAGCCTCTCTGCAAAATACAGAGGGCTTTCTCGACCCACGTAGTCTTTCAAGATCCCTGCCAACTCTCTCTAACAGGATTCATTGACACAAACACACAAGACATGAAATCAGACAAATAACCACAGAGAAGCCGAATAAGAACACCAAAGCAAGGTTTTTTTAATTTCATTTTCGCTCTGTTTCGGAAAATTTCCATAGTCTCTAACAATTTCGTCGACATACAGAACCATCAATTAGATGGCATCGACAAGATCCAAACTTTATCTCAATATGGAAATGACAACGCTAAAATCCCAACGACCCACAACGCAAGATGTTTCATTTCTAATTCACGAAGAACAAGGTCTGAGAAATCGAACCCACAAACCTGGAAATCATCGTCGGTGGCGAGAGAATAGAAAGCCGATTCGAGCTCAGAGAGAGCGTGCATTAGCGTTTCAGGGACATACTTCCCACCAAACTTCCCGAACCGACCAAAGGAATCGGGTCTTTGCCACAGGGTCGGGTCAGATCCGGTGGCCATGAGAACGGCCGGTTCCTTGGCGATAGTGCAAGAGACGGAGAAAGATGACCTTGAGCGAGACGATGGCAGAGGCGTAAATTTGAGAGCTTTGGAGGGCGATCTCAAATGGGTCAACTGGGAAGAGGAAGACGATGACGAAGGAGCTGAAGAAACGGAGGTTCTGAATGTAGCAACGGTGCCTGAGGCTGCCATTACTGAATCTCTCTTGGTCAATATTTTTTCCCCTCCTTGGATATCCTTCCAAAGTAAGGGCTTTTATAGATTCTTTACGAAAAAAAGAATAATTTGGTCAAATTTCTGACCACAAAAACAAATAAAAATACATATTAGTTTAATTCAATATTTAATACCAAATAAGTCTTTTACCAAGAAAAAAGTAAGTTGGTAGGACGTAGAAGATGGGATTCGATTTTAACACATGGTTTTGAAAATACATATCCAAATGATCCATCACCTACCCCTTATCTTTACATTTGTTTAATTTTTTTTTTGGTTTACAACTTACAAATTTCTCCCAATCACTATAAATTAGTACAGTATATTTGTTCTATATGACTATCTAAGTATACCAGCTCCTCCATGACCCCGTTGATTTAAGTTTTTAGACCAAAAAATATATTTACGAAAAAATTACAATGTAACTTCATATTATCCTTTACATATTAAGCAAGTTCACAATGACTCATCAAAATCGACACAAAATCATCCTAGAATTTATTTATTCGTTGAATCTAAAGATTCGATTTTTTGTTTCTTAATTGAGATGCTTCATGCATAACCCTATATATTAACATTAACAAAGAGTGCAACTTACAAAATACCTGAAAAAAAAAACATACTTGAAATCTTCACCAATCAGGAGCGTTAGGGACAAAGCCTCAGCTCTCAGGTACGTTTTGTTATACTTATACACTTGTTATGTGATATTATTATTGTAAATTTTGTGCCAATGCTTTTATTCAAAACATAGCACAATCATATGCAACACCACATGCGATGTATAGGCTTTAAACTGATGGCCACTTATTTTGTCTTACTTGATTTTTCAATCGAACCACAATATATAGTTTGTTCATGCAGTATTTATTAGTCATTGTGAGGGGTTTGAAATTGTTCTTTTCCTGTTACTCATCTCCAAATATTACAATTCCAGATTGTTTCTTTTTTTTTCAAGTATAATTCGGATCCATGAGTGTTAAATACTAAAATCCTGCGGATCAAGCAATTTTGATTTTGAATGAAATTTCATTAGCCCAAACTTTTGATTATATGGACTTTTGTTTTTGTACTTTGTCTAAGGCGGATTGATTTTATATATGCTTCTACAGACATTTTTTTTTGGTAGAAATTGCAAATGCAAAAGATATGATTAGTTTTATCCATTGCAGGATTTCGATAAAGAACCAAGATGGATACGAAAAGGGTTTCCGGAAGCCAACCAGACATGTTATCGAGTCTACCAGATGTACTTCTAATTCTGATTATCTCTTTGCTACCCTTCAATGAAGGCATCAGGACCAGTGTTTTATCAAAACGCTGGAAGAATCTATGCTATGAAATCAAAAACATTGCCTTTAAGGAACCCAACTATATCAACAATGTCGGTAGGATTTTGTTTGTTCGCTCCATGCGTCTATGGGTGGCTAGATTTCAAGGTATCATTGAAAGTTTCGAGATTTCTCTCTCCAATCCAGTGGGATTTGTGGCAGATATCGAGTACCTAATCGACTTTGCAGTCTCCAGACAAGTGAAGAAGTTAATTCTTGATTTCTCCAACCCTTCTTTGAGAACCACTCTTGATGCATCGTTGCTTCAAGTTGTTTTTGAATTGCCAGCAAGTGTTTACCGTCTAAGAACCCTAGAGTCATTGTGTATTTCCGCGTGTGGGTTTGACCCCTCGAGATTCACAAACCCAGAACTACTAAGAAGCCTCTCCATCAGTTGGATAAGTCTCAAACAAGTCGAATCTTTGCTACCTAAGTGTCCTTTGCTCGAGAGTCTAAGTATCAAACACTGTTGGGACCTTGATATCATGATGATAGCCGGGCAGATAAGAGAATTGGTCTTCGTGAACTGCGACTTCCCTCTGATGTCTTGTTCTTTTGACTTGCCTAATATAGAGATCTTCAAGTACACAGGATATATGATATGCCTTCATTTCAGGAGTGTGAATACGATGATGAAAGAAGTATACTTGAATTTTGATGAAGAGAAAGAACTTGATACAGACCCATTTGCAATCTTCTTACACAAAGCAGGAGGAAAATTTGTTTCTCGTCTTCTTAACGCTTGTCGATTTGCTAAGACCTTAACCGTTTGTCCGTATCTCCTTCAGGTATGTCTTTTGACTTAAAAAAAATAAAAAAATATATATATATATATATATATATATGAACAAAATATTATATTTGTGCACAATCACTACCGATTTTAGTCTATTTAATTAAATAATTACATCACTTTTAGAAAAAAATATTATTTTAGCGATGTGTATTAAGTGTGGTGTAAGGATTGGGAATACGTTGGGTGCATAGTTCTAATATGTAAATTCTGTGAAAGTATATAGTAGATAATAGTATAATACTCTTTATAAAACTTAATTATGTTGAATTGCTAGACACTAAGTATGATCGGGCCATGTTTTGGTTTTTTTTTTCTTTACTGGAAGGTGATTCAAGAATGTGACATTCCAGCTTTTTTGCTTCGTGATGTGGATGTACGATATTTGGTGCTGAGAACAAAGATGCAGCCTAAAGAGTTTATGGGCATTCGGCTCCTTCTCGATAATTGCCCCGACTTGGAGACACTTACTATCGACCATGTTCATCCAAAGCCAAGCGCCTCTCCAGTAAGATTGCTACTATATATAGAATACATATCTAACTAGTCACATTACTACTATATTTGGATATATATTTTCTGGAGTAGCTAATAAAAATGGTAAAATAAATACAATAAAAATTCTTTTAAGGTCAAAAAAATATATCATTCTCACTTTTATCGTTGAGTTTTCAGGGTTTTCACATTTAATTTTATGAGGTTAGGGTTTAGGATTAGGTTTAAAATTTAGTTTTCAGAAATAAGAATTTAGTTTTTAGGGTTTCTGATTTATTTTTAATCTATTCTATATATTTTAGAGATATGAGGTGTATTTTCTGTATATATGTCAAATTTTCTCAAAAGTTTGTTTCTGCTCATGATATTTTCATTTGACATTTGGTAGAGGACTTCTTTATCTCATGGCATCGATCCACAAACACATTGGCTTCAAAACATTTCATACAAGTGTTTGAGAAGGACTCTCAGGGTCGTTGTGTTTAAGAACTTTATTGGTAGCTTCGACCAGTTACAGCTGTTGCAGCATTTTATACGGACTGGGGACCTGTTGGAAAGGGTCGACGTTCACGTACGTGATAAAGTTATGAAGTTAGGGGAATGGTGGGTTCGTGATCAAGTCATGATGTTGCAGAAAACGACGAACCGTGCAAAGATAATTCTACACAGCGTTTGAAAAATTGACCTTTTCAAGACTTTTCTCTAATGGTTCTCTGATTGTCCCATTTAGTGATGTTTCAAGTTTGGTTACGTTGAAGTTGGATATTTTGGTATCTCCGGGGGGGTTTTTTTTATGAATAAGTCTCGCAATCATAATAATTGGTCTTATATGTGGCCAAAACAAAATAATAGATATTTGTCTAATATCCGTATACAATATACAATCTAAGTTAAGACTCTTTTCTTCTAATATGTGCGGAACCAGAATTTTTTTTCAATGAGGGCAAATGAAAATAAATATGATATTATGAATGGGAGCAATGACTTAAAACTTTAAAAAATATATTAATTTTTTAATTTTACTGGGGGCGAATGACCCCACCTTGAATAATGTGGCTCCCCTCAATTTCTTTAGTATTTGATTTGGTTTGTTGTAATTTGACAACAATGAGAATGTAGGGCGAGCCTTCAATTTTGCTTTTTCAAATATAAGTTTCTCTCACTTGCAAATCCATAGTTTGAGTTTGATAGGGTTTAATGATTTTATTGAATTGATATTCCAAAGATATGCCCTCTTCTCTAAAATGTAGCATCATACACCGTGGAAGAACACAACTATTGAAAATTCAAAATAAAAACATGGCGTGCAGTGTATTGAATTGAATCATCTAGTTATCGTCAAAAGAGTTATACTATGTTAATCTCTTACTAAACAATTTGAAAAAAGGGTATGTAATTCTGATGAAATACGAAACTAGTGTAATTAAAAGGTATAAATTTTTACAGAACTCTCTTAACAGTTAACAGGAAGAAGATCAAAGACATCAATATTGGATTTACCACCTGAAGTTCTGATTGAGATCATCTGTTTCTTGCTCTTCAAGCAAACTGCACAAATGAGCCTTGTCTTGAAGTGATGAAGGAATCTTTCTCGTGACATCAAGAACATCATCTTTAAGGAATCCGAGTTTGTGAATCTCTCTATATGAAGATACCATCACACTCGATAGGGTTTTCTTTATTTTTCGAATGCACCAATGCATGTCGAGATTTCTCTGTAATTTCTTCATCAACAGATTCAAACATTACTTCCCCAACCCTAATGGTTTCAAAAAATCAATCGTTTCTCTGGTCTAATTCAAAGTTTGTAAACAAAGTCAAGATCGTAGTTCTTGATTTTTTCAGACCCTAGTTCTGACATAGACATTCGTCACCACCTCTCTGTCTATTTGCCATGTTGCGTTTACGATCACGACAATCGAGTCACTAAAGATAAGTGTGTTTTTTTTAAGTCTTACAGATTCAAGAAACCGAAGGTGCTAAGAATTCAAGAAACCGAAGGTGCTAAGAATACAAAGTAAAATTTAAATAGTTATGGTACCAACTACAAAAATTTGGTCAATATATTTTATCTTCATCTTTGAATATCTTTCTCAAATAAGGTTATTCTGTACGTATAAATTCTTAGAGAAAATAAAATCAAATTGGTCAAAATTTTGACCACAAAATTGAGTAATCAATTAAAATTCATTTATTTATTTTTAGGTTTTTACCAAAAAAGAAAAAAAAAACTGGTAGGAGCGGAATAAAAAGATGGGATTAAAATTTTTCCTAATGAATGAGTCAACCACCTACCCTCATCTTTACATTAGTATATTTTTATCTGTTCAAGTTCTTTGTTTTTTTCAAATAGTATATTTGGTTTATATTTAAGTATATAATATACAATAAATCTGATTCAACTCACCATTGATCTCATATTACTCATGTAAAGAAAGTTGTTTGCAACTCACCAAATATAAAACATTAGCATTATAAGAAAAATTTGTTCGTAGAATCTAAGGATTTGCTTTTTCTTTCTTCTTATAGAGATGCTTCATACATGTATTTAATAACATCACCATATAGTGCAACCTAACAAAACTCCTGAAAAAAATCTTTTAACAAAAAAATAATAGACAAAACTCCTTAGAAAAAAATCCTTCAATTTCCTGAAGCATAAGTGAAGAAAATCTAAGGTGTGTCACTTTTTGTTATAAGAAAATAAGAAATCATTTTTATATACTTGTTAGATATTTATTTCTCTGGTTTTAATGTTACAAGATATGTTATTATTACATGTAAATAATTTACTTATGTTGTTTTTTTTTTGCTCGGCCTTGTTTTTTTCTGTTTCTTATTACCAAAGGTTGATTTACATATGATTAATTCAGGCATTGTTTTGTTTTTTCAAAACTGTAGATGCAAATGAGATAATTGATTTGAAATCTGTCCATTGCAGGATTTTGATTAAAAACCAAGATGCATACTAAGGAAAGGAATTCAGGTAGCCAACCAGACCGGTTATCGTGTCTACCAAATCTAGTTTTGATTATGATCATCTCTCATTTGTCTTTCAAGAAATGTATTCAGACCAGCGTTCTTTCTAAGCGTTGGAGGAACCTATGCCATCAAACCAAAAATATTGCTTTCAAAGAATCTGAGTACGTGAACCGGATTGGCTGCAACAAAGTCGCTAGGATTTCTTTTGTTAACTACATGCGTCAATAGGTGTTTAGATTTCAAGGTCAAGTCATTAACAGTTTCGAGATTCATCACTCCAATCCAGTGGGGTTAGGGACAGATATCGAATACCTAATCGAATTTGCTATCTCAAAACAAGTGAACAAGTTAGTTCTTGATTTCTCAAACCCTGCTTGGAGAACTACTAGTGATGTATCATGGCGTGAAGTTATTATTGACTTACCAGAATGCTTATACCGTCAAAAATCCGTGGAATCTCTGTATATTTATGCATGCAGGTTTGACCTCTTGAAATTCGCAAACCAAGACATGCTAAGAAGCCTCTTTATCGGCTGGACTGGTCTCAAAAAGGTTGAATGTTTGCTATCAAAGTTTCCTTTGCTCAAAAGTCTAAGTATCAAAAACTGTTGGGAACTTGATTCCATGATGATAGAGGGGCAAATAAAAGAATTGGTCATCGAGAACTGCGACTTTCCTCTCATGTCTTGCTCCTTCGACCTGCCAAATGTAGACATCTTCAAGTACTCGGGACATATGTTCTTCCATGCAAGTTTTCTATTGAGAAAACACAAAGATAGGCCCAGATTTTTGCTAGATTGTCGAAGCCCATGGGCCTTGAGACGAGAGAGATGATATGTTCTGTTCATCTGATTAAGTGCCAGTCTGTGAATGAGTCATCTTCCTTTTTGAGTAACACTCTTGTCTATATGAGGTAGTACCACTTATGGAAGAACATCATCCACGCGCCTCGCAATTGAATAGGTTTAGAAAAAAACCTAACATACCATATATAAAGATTCTTTTGCAAAAATAAATAAAAATAAACATATATACATTCGTAGAGAAGAGATACACTATCTGTGGCGTCTAAACCATCAGTATCCGCAGAAAATCTTTTCTTTTTCTCAAAATTCTCTACATTTCTCTTACAACAATGGATTCGAGTGCTCAACCAGACAGATTCTCGAACCTACCTGATGTACTTCTGGTCCTGATCATTTCTTGCTTGCCTTTCAAGGATTGCATAAAGACCAGTGTCCTCTCCAAGCGGTGGAGGTATCTCTGTCTTCAAACCACTAATGTTTCTTTCAAGGAATCCGACTTCGTGAACCCTACTCTCGACGAAACATCCTGGATCTCTGCTAGGCATGCATTTATTGATTATGCGTGTCGATGGGTCGATAGAATCCAAGATCAAGACGTCGAAAGTTTCGAGATTAGCATCTCTCGTCCTTCTATTTACATGAGTGTCATCGAGTCCCTGATCGCGTTCGCCGTCGGAAAACAAGTCAAGAAGCTAGTCCTCGATTTCTCAAAACCTATTTGGAAGACCACTCGTGATGTGCATGAATATTTGGATCTCACTGTCGAAGTTCCCGAGAGCGTTTACAACCTAACGTCTCTAGAGTCGTTGACGGTTAACGCGTGCAAGATGTTTGATCCCTTGAGGTTCAAAGACCTAGGGATTTTCAAAAGCTTATCTTTGGGATATATGAGACTGGAAAATGTCGAGTCTTTGCTATCAAAGGCTTCGAGGCTTGAGAGTCTAAGTATCAATGAATGTTGGGGACTTGATTTCAAGAAGATAGTTGGGAATATGAGAGAAGTTGCCTTTAAGAACTGCGACTTTCCTCTCATGTCTTTCTCCTTCGACCTGCCAAAAGTAGACATCTTCAAGTACTCGGGACATATTTTCTGCCTTGATTTCGAGAAAGAGAACATGGAGATTAAAGAAGTATACTTGGATTTTGGTGTAGAGGGAGAGTATGAAGATGAACCAACAGAGTCACACATAGCTCAAGGAGAAATTGTTTGTAATCTCCTTAACGAACTTCGATCTGCTAAGACCTTAACGGTTTGCCCTTATCTCCTTCAGGTACGTAGTTTAACAAGACACTCTTTCACTAATGCACACTCGCTACCAGCTATTTACATCATTTTTAGAAGATGATATTTATGTTTTGCAATATGGTTCTAATTGTAGCGTAAAAGGATTAAGAATATATTGAATACGTAGTTCTGATGGTGTAGATCTTTACAAAAGTAGAGTAGATGGTACCCTTAATTAAGTCTCTAAGTTAAATTGGTAGACATAAAATTTGATCGAGCCATGTATGTGTGTATTTTTCTTATGGAAGGTGATTCAAGAATGTCACGATCCGGATTTTATGCTTCGTGATTTGGAAGCACAACATCTGGTGTTGAGAACGAAGCTGCATCCTAAGGAGTTTATGGGCATTAGGATCCTTTTTGATAAATGCTTGGTTTTGCAAACACTAACTTTCGATTATGTTCCTCCAAATCCAAGCTTTTGTTCGGTAAGATTACTGTATATGGATATTTTTTAAGTTTAGAATTTAATTTTTTGATGTTAGGGTTTATGATTCCAGTTTAGGTTTTAGTTTTCAGAATGAAAAATTTAGTCTTAGAATTTCTTAAGTTTTGAATATTAATTAATTTTCGAAATATAAAGTCTATTTTCAAATAAAATATTGATGTCATGTTTTCTTAAATCTTTTTTTCTAATTAGTAAAGCTCATGGTATATAAGCTCATGATTTTCACTTGAATTAATGCAGGAAACTATTTCATATCGTGGCATCTATCCACAAACACATTGGCTTCAAAACATTTCATACAAGTGTTTGATAAAGACTCTCAAGGCTGTGGTGTTTAAGAAATTTACTGGTAGCCTCGACCAGCTACATATGCTAAACTTTTTGGTTCGGACTGGGTCTGGGTGGGTGCGCTCGCTTGAGAGAGTGGACCTCTACATGCCAAATGGGCTGGAGAAAGATGAAATGAGGGTGGCTCGTGAGGGAGCCACCATGTTGCAGAGAAAAACAAATCTTGCGAGGATAATTCTGCACAGCCCTTGTGATGCGAATGGAGACACAAGGCCTATACGCATCCCTAAGCCCAATGCCAAATATCATCACGACTAAGTTTTCTTGTGTTTCAACGTGTACTCCAAGCTTCTTTTCCAGTTTTCAAGTTGTTAGGAGGTGTACTCCAAATATTTATATCAAATAAAAAACAAATAGAAAGGGTTTCTAAACTACTGAAAAAGAAACACTTTTTTTTTTGTGTTCTTCAGCTATTGTCTTTGATATACAGTAGTGATCAGTCCTAGCAGGGACTTATCAACTTGAAAAGTTGACTTTCTCAAGTAAGGTTCTGTTTTTTTTTTTTTTTTGATATTTGTTATGTACCTTTATGATTATTTCAATTAAGGTTCATTACGAAGAAAACATATAACAGATTGGATAATTTACTAGCCTATAAGATTTTTCGAAGACAAATTTCTTGTAAAACAAAATTCACAATGTCTATCATAATATAAAAAAAACGTTTATAAATTTTAGCTAAAATTAAAAAGTTGATAGATATGTTACTAATGTCAACGACAATCTAATATTTTCAAAGCATACGTTCTTTTTTTCTATGGAAACCGGTACCGGAATCAAATGTCACTAATCTAGGGAATGTACCTTAGCTCAAAGCATATATCTTAATCTAGATATCTTTGTCGAAAGCTCAAAAGAAAATAACCAAAAAAATTATATATAGCACCCTAGCAGGGCAGACCCCCCTCCCCCCTTCTTTAATTAATATTTAGAATCCTTTATTTTACAGGTCTTCGTTGATTATAAAAACAAAGCTATTTTTTGAAGGGTTCTTGAAAATTCATTACTAAAGAGTAAGGAAGATGCAAAAGATATAGCAAGGATTTAGGGTTAATTTGTTAAATAATTGATGGTGGAGGCCATAGAAAAATATAGGAAGCAGTTTATAATGGTGGAACTAAACTCTGATCTACATTGTCTTCGAAGGTGATGAGGTCTTCACTATGTCGCAAACCAAATCGGTTAGATGAATATTCTCCATTTCGATCCTCGAGTTTCTCGATTGCCGTCACAGTTCTTTCTCACTTCAAAAGATCGATTGATTTACAGATTCCACACGATTGAGTATTTGAGTGTAATATTACCCGAGAAGTTTTGCATGTTCTTCCATGTAAGTTTTTATTTGTTTGTTTTTGCATGTTCTTCCATTTAAGTTTTCTATTGAGAACACACAAAAATAAGCCCAAATTTTTACTAGATTGTCGAAGCACATGGGCATGAGACGAGAGAGATGATGATATGTTTTGTTCATCTGACTAAGTGCCAGTCTGTGAATGAGTCATCCTCCTTTTTGAGTAACAGTCTTGTCTATATGAGGTAGTACCACTTATGGAAGAATATCATCCACGCGCCTCTCAGTTGAATAGGTTTAGAAAAAAACCTAACATGCCATATATAAAGACTCTTTAGTAAAAATAAATAAAAATAAACATATATACATCGTAGAGAAGAGATACACTATCTGTGGCGTCTAAACCATCAGTATCCGCAGAAAATCTTTTCTTTAACTCAAAATTCTCTATATTTCTCTTACAACAATGGATTCGAGTGCTCAACCAGACAGATTCTCGAACCTACCTGATGTACTTCTGGTCCTGATCATTTCTTGCTTGCCTTTCAAGGATTGCATAATGTTTCTTTCAAGGAATCCGACTTCGTGAACCCTACTCTCGACGAAACATCCTGGATCTCTGCTAGGCATGCATTTATTAATTATGCGTGTCAATGGGTCGATAGAATCCAAGATCAAGACGTCGAAAGTTTCGAGATTAGCATCTCTCGTCCTTCTATTTACATGAGTGTCATCGAGTCCCTGATCGCGTTCGCCGTCGGAAAACAAGTCAAGAAGCTAATCCTCGATTTCTCAAAACCTATTTGGAAGACCACTCGTGATGTGCATGAATATTTGGATTTCACTGTCGAAGTTCCCGAGAGCGTTTACAACCTAACGTCTCTAGAGTCTTTGACGGTTAACGCGTGCAAGATGTTTGATCCCTTGAGGTTCAAAGACATGGGGATTTTCAAAAGCTTATCTTTTGGGTATATGAGACTGGAAAATCTCGAGTCTTTGCTATCAAAGGCTTCGAGGCTTGAGAGTCTAAGTGTCAGTGAATGTTGGGGAGTACTTGATTTCAAGAAGATAGCTGGGAATATGAGAGAAGTTGCCTTTAAGAACTGTGACTTCCCTTGGACTACTTGTTCCTTTAACCTGCCTAAAGTTGATATCTTCAAGTACTCGGGAGATATTTTCTGCTTTCATTTCGAGAGAATGAATCCGAACATGAAAGAAGTTCACTTGGATTTTGGGGTATTAGGTGAATATGATGATGATTTGGACGACAAAAACGTACAAGCACTAGCGCTTTGTGATATGCTTAATAGTCTTCGATCTGCTAAGACCTTAAAAGTCTGCTCTTATCTCCTTCAGGTATTTTATAAGTCTAAGATTTACATTATAATGCTGCACATTAATTCGGTCATTCAGTATAAGTTCTTGGAAAGTTTGAACTATATATTTGCGATGTGGTTGTAATTGTTGCCTAGTGAACAGAAAGTATGTATGCTGAAGACTTAGATGTTGTATAAACCGATTAGCTATTAGTCGTTTGAAATTATTAGGTTAAGTGTTTATCAAACTCTTTGCTATCTTGAACAAAATACTTCCATTAGGTGACTATATTTCTTTCCTTACCATGATCTAATCCTATTAAAGTCATTACTGGCGCATTTTAAGATTATTGATTCGCGGTATGATAATAGTGATCTAATGAAAATCGAGTAATACCCCAAAAATATTAGGTTAAATTTGTGTATACAGAAAATTGTTTAGAATGTAATTTTGACAGTAACATGTGTGTATATTTTTTTTTTAATTATTATTGTGGAAGGCGATTCACGAATCTGACCACCCGATGCATATGCTGAGACCGGTGAAGACACAACATTTAGTGCTGAAAACAAAGTTAGAACCGAGAGAGTTCCATGGAATTAGGCTCTTTCTCGAGAAGTGCCCAGACTTGGAATCCCTAACTTTCGATATGCTTCCTCCAAGCCCTATCACGGTACGTTTTTTGGTTATTTGGTTTCAATGTATATTTATATATCCTCAAAAGCGAAATCTATATGGATCTCTTCATATTATTAAACCACACGACATTTAATGATTTCATATTTCTCAGAAATTTACATCATATGAGGGTATTGATCCACGAGTATATTGGCTGTATAACATAACATACAATTGTATGAGGAAGACACTTAAAACCGTGGTGCTCAAGTATCTGATTCGGTCCGGGAGTGGGCGTGGGTCTGGACCTGTATTGGAAAGAGTTGAGATATACTTGTCCAATGGGTTGGACGAAAGTCAAAAAATGTATGCATATGAAGGAGCCGAAATGTTGCAGCGAATTTCGGAGGATGTTCAGGTTTCTTGGGCATAATTCTTGAAAAAGGTCATCTTTTCAAGACTCTTCACTAATGGGTTTAGATTGTCCCATTTAATTTGTGATGATTTTGTGTTTGGTTTATTAACTTCGAGGATGGACGATGTTCCCATTTGGATCCGGTTAAGTTGGTTTGTTTGTTTGTTTTATGAATACTAGCCTCAAGAAAAAATGAGGACTTGGTCATCTATGTGAACCAAAGATAATAGTAATTGTATTGAGTAATATCTATATGATATTATATACAATTTGATCGTTTACATCTAGATTAAAAAATTATTGTTTTTCCGGATTGATTCCAATTTTTAGTACGTATTCACATTTCGTTTTGTTGAACACAATTCTGTTTACTATGAATTTCATGTATTTATAAATTTCACTTGCAGTTTCTACTTAAATCCAATCATATTCCTTCTTTTAGTTTTGGGTGCGTCTTTGAGTTAGTTAAAATGATACATGTGCATATGTTTATGAAACTAAACTTGTATACTTTGCCTCGTTCACGAGTTGCATTTTTCCAAATTTGTGTGTTATTTGGCATCATCAATGGATGCATTTGGACTTGCATCATTTGCAATTAAGAATATATCTTGTGCTTTCAAATTTGTTTAGAAGTAGTTTTTTGTTTGTCATTTGCAAATCCAATAGGTTTAACATTGATCGGCCGGTTACACGTCTCGAATATACAGTTATGTTTTTGTGATATCAACAAGTTAATTAATTGTGCCGGCTTACAAAAAAAATTAGACCGTATAAAAACATAAAATAAAAAAATGTCGAACCTGACATATGTTAATTAGTGTTAAGATTCAAAATCATTTCGATAAAAGGTGATGCAAGATCATATCTCTCTTATTACTCGATGAACAACGTAGAAGAACAAACCTTCCTTCAAAAAAAAAACAACGTACAAAAACAATATAGGGCTCTCTCTCTCTCTCTCTCTCTCTCTCTCTCTCTCTCTCTCTCTCTCTCTCTCTCTCTCTCTCTCTCTCTCTCTCTCTCTCTCTCTCTCTCTCTCTCTCTCTCTCTCTCTCTCTCTCTCTCTCTCTCTCTCTCTCTCTCTCTCTCTTACTTATAGCCAAAACACTCCTCACTTACAATTATATATATATATATATTTTTTATCTTCTATTATTATTTGAGAAGGACACTTAAAAAAAAATGTTATTAACAACTTTGCCATGCTGATGTGTCAATCTCAAAAAACTTCTCAATGATTTTTTAAATTAGACTCAACTTACTAGATTAATTACATCATATGCCATTAACATTAATTTGGTTAAAGATTAGTTTATATCAAATATATATTTAATACTCAAACATTTAATTGTAAAGATATTCTCTCTCTTTCTATTTCTTATCAAAATATTTATAAAATTTAATACATAATATTAATTATGTTACTAAACATTATTTTTATCTCATCTTTCTTTAATCTTAATTTTGTTAAAAAAATAATCATATTATATATTTAATAATAATAAAATCTTCATACATATTATAATTTATATGTTTTTATATCAAAGCAAAGTATCTTAGTCTGATGTTAGACCGGTTAGATAAAACATATTAATTAATGTATTTAATGTGTAATTTTATTCATATAAAAATACTACTAAATTTAATTATGAAATCATATAATTTATGCAATTGTATTATAAAATAAATATAAATTTGATTATTATTATAATTTCATAAATGTCATATATATTTGCAATTATAAATATCAGCTAACATTTTTATAGTTGTATTTATATATATTATATTTACATATTCGAATAAAAGAATTGTGGTTAATATTTACCCCGTACATGGTACGGGTAATCAACTAGTATATATCAATAACAAAAAACTCCTTACTTACAAATTTTCTACAAAATTTTCACCAGCATAATAGTTAATTGGATCCTGCCACTTTCTTACCAAATTTTAACCGTATTTTCTACGAATATAAATTTGGTAGGTTATTAGTTGGATAAATTTTACTACTTTTTAATATTTTTTTGTATGAAACTTTTTACCTATTTTCTACCACTTCTATTTTTTGTCATAATTACATAAAAAATTGGTTAAAAATATTTTTACCAAATATTTTCGTAAGAACTTTTGTAAAAATATGGCATGTTTTCTTCTATGTACTAAGAGTTATCTTTTTGAAAATTTTAATCAAAATTCATTGATTTATAATTATAACATTTGGATTTGAATTAATATTTGTAAATCAATAGGCCTAATTCATTATGAAAAGGTAGAAGATATATGATGAGTATCAGGTCAGGATATGTAAATTCATTGCAACTTCCAGCAGTCACACGTCGAAACTTTGTACAAACACGACGAAGATCATTGAGAGGACGGTTGATTTTGTGTTTGGAGTTTTTATTCTGGATAAACTCGTTAAAAAGTATCTCACCTATCCGAATGAAAAAGTACGACCAGAAGAAATGAAGATGGAAATGGAAGTTATGAAGAATGGCTTTGAAGGGATGAATATCTTCACATACTTATTATTTTATATAGTTAAGTAAAAATAGACAAATGATCAAAATCTCATGACCAATTCTTGCGCGATTATTTTGTTTTGTTTCTATGATTAATAGAGTGACAACTCAGTTTGGGCCTTAAATCAATTTCTATATGGGCTGCAATTGACATGTCGATAAAGAACATACTAATATTACGAGTTCAGAACAAAAATCAAGCATGAAAACTCAATCCAACTTAAAATGCTGTTTTACAGACACGTAGGGTCTGTTCTTCTACACGACGCTGCGTCAGCGGCAGCGACGAAGCAAACGATGTCAGCAGTGATAGAACACAAATGTAAACGACAACATAACTTAACAAAAAAGTAGTCGCCGATTAACTGATGAGTCACCGACGATATGAAATGAGACACTGCAAATTTTCAGCGTCAGCTGCGTCACTGCAATCTTCATCGGCGTTCATCCTCAGCACCAGTTTTCCTCTCATTGGTGTGTTATCTTCTATCCGTCCAAAGCTGATTTATTCGGTCGCTGCCGTTGACGCAGCGTCGGGTAAAAAAACAGGCCCGTATAAGAATACTATAATTTGTTTTAGTTGGCATACTCTAAGTTCCATAAACATTGATAATTTAGACAAGTACCAAATCAGAGCCAAACAAAATATGAGCTGAAACAAGATCTCGATCATAATTTGTTAATTGATTAATTTATATTTATTTTTTGGTCAGAGTCATCACCTTTTTTTTGTTTTATCCGTCAAGGATCACACGGGAAACATGATAATATCAATCAGATGCTATATCTCATAAATTTGCGAATATATGTCTTCTATCAATCGGTCCTTTTTCTAATGTAGAATCACATATGAAATATGAGATAAAATCTTGCAAAGTTGCAAGTATGACTGGTTAAAAAAACTTCAATGTCAGATAAAGAAGCTGAAATTTATTTAATTAACATAAGTGAAAAAGAATTTTATTCGATAGGGGAAATACTCTTACAAATTTGTGCATTTGAAAAAAAAGAATGTAATATATCATTCTTGTATCTGCAAAAGTGGGTTTTTTTGTAGAAAACCCAAAGACGGAGACACCTAACTGAAGAACAATTTCAGTCAAACTCTTTAGAAAATATGAAATGTTTTTTTAATTGATAATAATATATTTATTCAAATTTGCTCTAGTCGTAGTCTTTTTTCTGTTTCCTTTCTATTATGGAAACGTCCCGACAAGAGAAGCATAGGACAACTAAATTACAAATACAAAAGATTTCACTGTCTGAAAATTTAAAACAACAGGTCTGGCATGGTCTTACGCGACGCCTACTCGGACGCCACTACACCACCAAACATGATGAGTTTAATAAACCTCCTATTATCAATTATGCATTGCAGGAGATCACACCTACGAAGAGGGTCTGGAGAGATGGTTTGATACTCGGCACTAAAAATAGCTTCTGAAGATCTTAATGTTCTGTTCTTTAGCATAGCGACATTAGTTCTTGCTTTTCTTTTCTAACAAATAGAATATGTAAAGAATCAGTTTTTTTTGGAATATAATTTAACATATTTTCAAAAAAAAAAAAAAAAAAAAAAAAACAAACAAAAGGAACTGTTTTTTCTTTTCAAACTTCAAGATATTTAGCCACCGTCTGAACATCTTTATCTCCTCTTCCACTAAAGTTCAAGACCACTCTCGTTCCGTCCGGTAACGTGGGACATAGCTTATCGAGGTGAGCAAGCGCGTGTGATGTCTCCAGCGCCGGAATTATTCCCTCTAACCGCGACACTCTCTTGAACGCTACAAGCCGCAAATCAAAGGAAACACAAAAAGATGAGATATGAAACAAAGAAGAGATTACAGAACAAAAGACTATGCATCGATCCATACCTTCCAAGGCTTCTTCGTCGGTTACGCTATAGTATTCAGCACGTCCCATGTCTTTAAGGAAACTGTGCTCCGGTCCAACAGTTTCCACACCGATCATACGGACCTTTATGTCATCTACAAATTCATGGAAGAGTCCTATTGCGTTTGAACCACCACCTACACAAGCCACCAAGACATCCGGTTTCCCTCCCCAAACGAATCGGGTCTTTGCCACAGGGTCCGGTTAGATCCGGCGGCCATGAGAACGGCCGGGTCCTTGGCGATAGTGCAAGAGACGGAGAAAGATGACCTTGAGCGAGACGATGGCAGAGGCGTAAATTTGAGAGCTTTGGAGGGCGATCTCAAATGGGTCAACTGGGAAGAGGAAGACGATGACGAAGGAGCTGAAGAAACGGAGGTTCTGAATGTAGCAACGGTGCCTGAGGCTGCCATTACTGAATCTCTCTTGGTCAATATTTTTCTCCCTCCTTGGATATCCTTCCAAAGTAAGAGCTTTTATAGATTCTTTATGAAAAAAGAGAATTTGGGTCAAATTTCTGACACAAAAACAAATAAAAATACATATTACGTTAATATTTAATACGAAATAAGTCTTTTACCAAGAAAAGGTAAGTTGGTAGGACTTGGATCGGTTTTAACAAATGGTTTTGAAAAAAAACTTTATCAAATGAGCCATCACCTACCACTTACCTTTACATTGATTAATTTTGTTTTTGGTTATAAATTTTCCCCAATTACTATAAATTAGTACAGTATATTTGTTACTATCTAAGTATATCGTATCTTATTCAAACTCCTCCATGACCCCGTTGATTTAAGTTTTTAGACCAAAAAAAAATATTTACGAAAACTTTACAATGCAACTTCATATTATCCTTTACATAATAAGCAAGTTCACAATGACTCATCAAAATCGACACAAAATCATCCTAAAATTTATTTATTCGTTGAACCTGAAGATTTCGACTTTTTGTTTCTTTATTGAGATGGTTCATGCATAACCTTATATATTAACATTAACGAATAGTGCAACTTACAAAATACCTGGAGAAAAAAATTCTTGAAATCTTCACCAATCAGGAGCGTACGTTAGGGACAAAGCATCAGCTCTCAGGTATGTAAGTAAGAAATTGTTGTTATAAACTTGTTATGTGATACAAATTTTGCAATTTCTGTGCCATTGCTTTTATTCAAGTACTAGAACATAGCATAATCATATGCAACGCAAGACATGCGTTGTAAGCTTCAAATTGATGGCCACTTATTTTGTCTTACTTGATTTTTCAATCGAACCAATGGAGTAATAGTTCGTTCATGCAGGATTTAGTAGTCATTGTGTAGGGTTTGAAATTGTTATTTTCCTGTTACTCATCTCCAAATATCACAATTCCAGATTGTTTTTTTTTTTTAAGTATAATCAGGATCCTTGAGTGTTAAATAATGCGAATCAAGCAATTTTGTTTTTGAATAAAATTTTCATTAGCCCAAACTTTTTGATTATGGACTTTTGTTTTTGTTCTTTATCTAAGGCGGATTGATTTTATGTATGCTTCTACAGACATTTTTTTTGTGTGGAGATTGCAATGAAAAGATATGATAAGCTTTATCCGTTGCAGGATTTCGATAAAGAACCAAGATGGATACTAAAAGGGTTTCAAGAAGCCAACCAGACAGTTTATCGAGTCTACCAGATGTACTTCTAATTTTGATCATCTCTTTGTTGCCCTTTAAAGAGAGTCTCAGGACCAGTATTTTGTCAAAACGCTGGAAGAATCTATGCTATGAAATCAAAAACATTGCCTTTAAAGAACCCAACTATATGTACGGGTTTAACTCCAACAAAGTCGCTAGGATTTCTTTTGTTCACTACATGCATCAATGGGTGTCTAGATTTCAAGGTCATGTCATTGAAAGTTTTGAGATTCATCTCTCCAATCCAGTGGAATTCGTGGCAGATATTGAGTACCTGATCAACTTTGCAGTCTCTAGACGAATGAAGAAGTTAGTTCTTGATTTTTCCATCCCTTCTTTGAGAACCACTCTTGATGCATTGTTGCATGGAGTTGTTTTTGAATTGCCAGCAAGTTTTTACGGTCTAAAAACCCTAGAGTCATTGTGTATTTCGGCGTGCGGGTTTGACCCCTCCAGATTCACAAACCCAGAACTACTACGAAGTCTCTCTATCAGTTGGTTAAGTCTCAGACAAGTCGAATCTTTGCTATCTAAGTGTCCTTTGCTCGAGAGTCTAAGTATCAAACACTGTTGGGACCTTGATATCATGATGATAGCCGGGAAGATAAGAGAATTGGTCTTCGTGAACTGCGACTCCCCTCTGAAGTCTTGTTCTTTTGACTTGCCTAATATAGAGATCTTCAAGTACACCGGATATATGATATGCCTTCATTTCATGAGTGTGAATACGATGATGAAAGAAGTATACTTGGATTTTGATGAAGAGAGAGAACTTGATACAGACCCATTTGCAATCTTCTTACACAAAGCAGGAGGAAAATTTGTTTCTCGTCTTCTTAACGCTTGTCGATTTGCTAAGACCTTAACCGTTTGTCCGTATCTCCTTCAGGTATGTCTTTTAACTTTTTAAAAAAAAATCTATATATATATATATATATTCTGAACAAAATACTATATTTGTGCACTATCACTATAGTCACTACCGATTTTAGTCTATTTAATTAATTAAATCACTTTTAGAGGATTATAGTTTTGCGATGTGTATCAAGTGTGGTGTAAGGTTGAGAATATGTTGAGTGCGTAGTTCTGATATGTAAATTCTGTGAAAGTAGATAGTAGATAATAGTATTAGCATTCTTATATAAGTAAATATGTTAAATTGCTAGACACTAAGTATTATCGGACCATGTTGTATATTTTTTTTACTGGAAGGTGATTCAAGAATGTGACATTCCAGCTTTTTTGCTTCGTGATGTGGATGTACGATATTTGGTGCTGAGAACAAAGATGCAGCCTAAAGAGTTTATGGGCATTCGGCTCCTTCTCGATAATTGCCCCGACTTGGAGACACTTACTATCGACCATGTACATCCAACGCCAAGCGCCTCGCCAGTAAGATTGCTACTAGGTATATAGAATACATACCAAACTAGTTATATTACTATATTTGGATATGTATATTTTCTGGAGTAGCTAATAAAAATGCTAAAATAAATACAATAAAAATTCTTTCAAGGTCAAAGAAATATATCATTTTCAGGTTTACCGTTGACTTTTCAGGGTTTCACATTTAATTTTTGAGGTTAGAGTTTAGGATTAGGTTTAAAATTTAGTTTTCAAAGATAAGAATTTAATTTTGACGGTTTATTATTTAGTTTTAAACTATTATATATAACTTAGAGATATGAGGTATATTTTCCGTATATATGTAAATTTTTCTCAAAAGTCTACTTCTCTTATAATTAGGAAAGCTTATGGTCAGCTCATGATATTTTCATTTGATATTTTGTAGAGGACTTATTCATGTCATAGCATCGATCCACAAATACACTGGCTTCAAAACATTTCATACAGGTGTTTGAGAAGGACTCTCAAGGTCGTTGTGTGTAAGAACTTTATTGGTGACTTCGACCAGTTACAGCTGTTGCAGTATTTGATCCGGACCGGGGACCTGTTGGAAAGGGTCGATGTTTACGTACCAGATGCAGTCATGAAGTTAGGGGAATGGTGGGTTCGTGATCAAGTCATGACGTTGGAGAAAACGACGAACCGTGCGAAGATAATTCTACACAGCGCTTGAAAAATTGACATTTTCAAGAGTTTTTCTCTAATGGGTCTTTGATTATCCCATTTAGTAATGTTTCAAGTTTGCTTACGTTGAAGTTGGATATTTTGGTATCTTCGGTTTTTTTTTTTTTCTATGAATAAGACTCTCGCAATCATAATAATTGGTCTTATATGTCATATGTGGACCAAAACAAAATAATAGATATTTGTCTAATATCCGTGTGACAATATTACAATCTAAGTTAAGGCTCTTTTCTTGTTCTGATATTTAAAGTTAATTTTTCTTTTTATCTCAATTACTTTAGTATTTGATTTGGTTTGTTGTAATTTGACAACAATGAGAATGTAGGGCGAGCCTTCAATTTTGCTTTTTCAAATATAAGTTTCTCTCACGTGCAAATCCAAATAGTTTAAGTTTGATAGGGTTTAATGATTTTATTGAATTGATATTCCATAAATATGCCCTCTTCTCTGAAATGTAGCATCATACATCGTGGAAGAACACAAATATTGAAAATTCAAAATAAAAACATAGTGTGCAGTGTATTGTATCATCTAGTTATCGTCAAAAGATTAATACTATGTGTTAATCTCTTACTAAACAATTTTTTTTTTAAAACAGAGGATGTCTAATTCTGATGAAATACGAAACAGAGTAATTAAAAGGTATAAAATTTTACAGAACTCTCTTAACAGTTAACAGGAAGAAGATCAAAGACATCAATATTGGATTTACCACCTGAAGTTCTTGATTGAGATCATCTGTTTCTTGTTCTTCAAGCAAACTGCACAAACGAGCCTTGTCTTGAAGTGATGGAGGAATCTTTATCGTGACATCAAGAACATCATCTTTAAGGAATCCGAGTTTGTAAATCTCTATGTTGATATTGATATGTGGATATCGACAAGGGACAAAACAGTATTTTAGATCGGAAGCTCGGTTTTTATTAGATCGAATCAAGCAAATACAACTGCATTCGGTTATTTAGATGGACAATAACGAATTAAGACTTAATGCAACTAAGAGCCTAACATTTTGAGTTCTCAGTCACTAAGTCTTCTCGGGAATATCTTGTGTTCTTCGGTGTCGATTCATCTCCCTTTATATATATCCTTTGAGTCGGTCTTCAAATACATCTTCGACGATATGGGACCGAGAGGACTTTCCTTTACTCTCGGTTCCTTTCCTTTTCTCTCCGAAGTTTCCTTTTTCCGTTAGGAAACTTTCTTATTTCGACCGAGCTCAGGGAAACCTTCCATTCCTTTGAGAGGCTTCTCACCGACCTCGGCCTAATGGGCTGTATTTGGCCCAATGTTTCACTCGGCCCATCTTTCTCGGTACATCCCTTAGTAAACCGGGCTTATGCTATGCTGATCTCGGTTTGTACCGGAGAAAACCGGGGTGCGGTTTTCACCTCCAACAGTTAGCCCCCCCCCTCAGTTCGGTGAAAGGAGGTGACTTTCAGTCGAACTTGTTTCTTCGATTATCGGATCACAAACCGAGCTCGGTAACTGCTGTCGATTCACATTCTTGGACGTTTCGCGCCTGTCTTCAATGAGGCGCGTGAATTCCGGAGTTGTCGCGAGAATCGAGGAACCACGATTCCCACTGTTTATAAGAGAAAAACCCTCCTCTCGCATTCATTATTCTCGCTCAAGCATATATAAGGTACGCCGCTCTCCCTTCTCTCTAGATTTTGTTTCTCTCTCTAGTCTTTATTTGTAGTTTTTCTCTCGTTTCTTCAACTCTCGCCGCCGCGAACCCTTGATTTTTCCGATCGATCTTCAAACTTCCCGATCAACCTTCAATCTTTCTGGTTGATCTTCAAACTGTTCTTCATTTCTCCCGGATTCCCTTCAAATCTTCTTTTTCGAACTCAAAATGTCTTCCAGCTCTTCGGCTAACTCCTCTTCTAACCAAATCCTTCCGGAAGATCGTCGCGAATCCTCAGAACCGAGCTCTTCCTCTTCAGATCCTCATCTATCGAACTCGTCTCGAGAAGAGAATAGCCCTCCACAGTTAGTCCGAAAGAACTCGAAATCGGCTGGTGCCAGCAGTAGCCGTTCTCGACCACGAGTCGAAGCGACAGAACAACCAGAAGCTCTTGAAACGGATGCTCGCGCCGGGCCGAACGCTGTTAACGTCGATCACGAGATCGAAGAGATCGAAGAAGTTAAAGAAATTGAAGAAGAAAATTCCGAGGAAAACGTCGCCGAGACAGGAGGTGCCGAGGACGATCTCGAAGCCGTGATTCATGCTTCACCGCCTCTTCCGAAACGAAAAGTTGTTCGTCCCAACAACGTACCCTCTTCGTCTGTTTCTCCTGGTGCTGTTCGTGCCGTGCTTGAAGCAAACGGACTCGAAGACAAAGTTGTCTTCATAATTCCAGAAGCTGGAGATCGGCCATGGGACGTCCCCGAGGGCTTCCTCTGCATCTACCTGACTTATTTCACACTATGTGGACTTTCGTTTCCAATTCCCTCCCGTCTGCTCGGGTACTGTAATCGGCGAGGTGTAGCCCTCACGCAGGTAATGCCGGCTTCTATAACGAACTACACAGGGTTCGTCTCCTTATGCGAAGAGCTCGGTGATATTCCAACCAGTCGGTTGTTCGAGGATCTCTTTTCGGTGAACATCCACAAATCCAGAGAGTGGTTTTTTGCCGCGAATGCTAAGCCGAAGAAGAACATCGTTACTGGACCTAAGCCCAGTAAATTCAACGACTAGGAATCTCTTTACTTCTATCTTGAGATAAACGATCTCACCGTCAGCGATTCTGACATCTCAACTCAATCGGAGTGGAAGATTCCGATCGGTAGATCTAGACGAGCTTAAACTTCTGCTAGTTTTTAACTTTATATTTTACTAATTTCTTTTTGGATCTCTGCAGGTCGTCATCTCCCGAGTATCATTCTCAACTCCGGACTCACCTCCAAATTTGAAGCAGCTTTCAGCGAGGCCGGCAAACGTCGTTGGCCAGAAGTGTGGGAAGAAATTCTTCAGCGCCGATCCAAGAAAGCAGGTTTGTTTACTGAGTTCGATTTTACTTGCTTTATTCTGAACTTAGCCCGAACTCTTCCTTGACATATTTCCATTGCAGCTTCTGTCCGAGAACCAAAACCGCGCAAGCCAAAAGCTCGAGCCAATAAGCCTCGAGCTGCTCCAAGACGCAGAGTACCTAACTCGCAAGCCAAACGCACACGAACTGCCAGGATGCTTCACTCGACGAGATCCCCACCTTGTTCGGCGAGGAAGAGCCGAACGTGGCCGATCCGACCCCCATCCCTGTACCGATGGGACCACCGAGCAACCGGAAGAGCTGCTGCCTGCCGCGAACTCGCCTGATCAAGTAGGTCAGAAGAAATTGAAAAAGAAGAAGTCCTCGAAGAAAACCAAGAGGACTGAAAACTCTTCGCGGGCGCAGGATGCACCCGCCGAGCTCAACCCACCGACAGCTGCGGCGTCGGACCCCGCCCTTTCTCAGGATCAGCCTGAAACTTCTAACTCCCGGAAGAGGCAAAACAGAGAGCATGCCGAGGACTCTCCGGAGCAAGGGCCAGCCAAAAGGACCAAGGTGTGCTTTGATTATGACGAAGAGGGTCCTTTTGAAGAGAACGTCGATGCGTGAGCCGATCTTTACCACAAGATCTCCTCCGACGTTCCGAGTCTCCCACCGATCTTCGAGCTCAAGTTTCCCAACTTGTACAAGGGGATTGCTCGCACGACTGCCGTGGTACTTCCTCAGTTCCTTTTCTTCATTCGAATATTTCTCAAAGTAAGAGCTCTAACCATGCTTAACTTTGTGCAGCTCGCTAGCCAGACTAACACTCTGGTCGCCGCATACGAGGTAGCTCTATACGACGAGCAAGTTAGGGTGGCCGAGCTGCAAGAGAGGGTCTCCAAGGCAGAAGAAAGGCTTGCTACCGAGCTCCAGATCAACGACTCTCTTCACACCGCCGTCGATTTGTTAAAGCAGGAGAGCGCGGAACTGAAAGCGGTACGAGCTGAACTGACCGAGGCTCAAAACCTGCTCTCAGGAGTTCAAGAAAGATAGGGAGCAGCTTCGAGAGTTGGTTGCGCACTGGAAAGGTCGGGCAAGGAGCGTTCATGCTACAGCATGCAAATGCTTAAAGAAGGTCATCCGGAGCTTGGATGAAGCTGACAAGGTTCGGAAGCCGTACTTGGTTGTCAACCAGCTTACGGGAGTGCTCGGCTTCATCAAACAGCTAAAGAAGAAGGGCTTATACGAGGTCCAGCCTGAGATGATTGCTGACATCGAGGCGAAGCACACCAAGGCCTTAGAAGAGTTCCGTGCGGTCGATGTCTGCGTTCTTTTGGAGGAAGATAAGCGGATGTCTCCGTTCGCTGAAGAGGACGACATTCCGGTCGTGAATGTCACTCAGAGCGCAGGATCCTGCGAGAGGTGAGCAGTTCGGCTCGAACGAAGATATGCTCAATGCGGACCAAGCTGCTACCTCGAAGACTGCTTAATTTCTCTCCATTTTTTTCTTTTTAATCAACCGCCCTTTCATGGGTTACTTTGTAATTTTTATCTATTTCTGGGCGCTCGGTTGGCTTCTTTTGAACTTATTTGCCTTTCAAAAGTAGTAGGTCGGCATTTACCTTGAATTTTGACTTTATTTTCGTCGATAACTTAGAAAAATCTTTCAAGTACATAGTAGATGATGTTCGAACGTAATTCTCATCTTTTGATGGCGAATTGCGATAATTCGGCTTACGTTTTGCGAGTGTTGTGAACTCGGCTTATGGTGCGAATCTGAAGAGTTCGGCTTATTGTGCGAGCATTTAAACTCGGCCTCGGCCTGGGGAACCTAAGTGAATCGTTTCGTACTGGAAGAGTGAATTTATTCGAACTCCTGTAAACGCACGAAACGAGTTCAAGGTTTTTCTAAGTCGAACCTAAGTATGCGAGATGTGCTCGGCTTATTGCTCTTGGTGACTTAGAAATTTAACTGCGGGACTGGGCCTGGCTTTTAACATGTGGTTTTACC